AAGGATTCTATAGTACACTATAGACTCTAGGCCAGGGGTGGGCAAACTTTTTGACTCGAGGGCCACAATGGGTTCTTAAACTGGACTGGAGGGCCGGAACAAAAGCATGGATGGAGTGTTTGTGTGAACTAATATAAATTCAAAGTAAACATCATTACATAAAAGGGTACGGTCTTTTTTTTGTTTGTTTGTTTTATTCATTTCAAACGGGCCGGATCCGGCCTGTGGGCCGTAGTTTGCCCACGGCTGCTCTAGACATTTATTTTATACTAGTAGCCTGGTGCATGAAATTCGTGCACACTGAAAGGGAATTAATTAGAGGAATGTAATTTGGACTCACTATCTAATATCAATAATATGTGAGCGTGAGGCAGTCTGCATTTCTGAAATTCAATGACATGAATTTTAGCTATTACTTTGCCAAATAAATGGAATTTACAGATATCATTTAAAAGAGCATTCAGCTTAATATTAAAAACTCTGGCTACCAAGTCAGGTCCGTTTTCAACTTTTTGCCAGCGTTGTAAATTGTTTGCAGTCTCTGCCCATTTGGGGTTGCATGTCATGGTTATGAATAAATTGGGCTTGCCATACTTCGTTACAATTGCCATACTTTGTTACAATTGCCATAGCATCCTTTGTTACAATTGCTATATCACTGCTGCTTTTTTCAGGGACTACCCTCAGAAGATGATGGGAGTATTATCACTTTACCAATCGGCACATTGTCATTTTCAGATCTAGATTTGAGATAATCCATCAAACCACTATATTCTTCAACTCTCAACTTAGATTTATTTGCTTTAATGAAATTTATCCGATTGGACTCCATTTTTTTAATATGAATCCACGATAAGCTATTGAGTTAGTTTTCCTGCATTTAAAATAGGATTAAATGTGTCCCGCACAGAGAGATGAAATCCATAATACTGCATTTATGTGGCTTGTGTCTTACATTTTGTCTAGTATTATTGTCGGTTACACTGTTGTCTCTGAGTCTTAATGCAATATCTGTTCCCCAGCCTTTTTCACCATTTGGAAAAAGAATAGGATATGTCATTGCATCTAATGTAGGAAACAGGATATTGATTTGTTTCATTTTAGTGGCATTTGGATTATTGGGATCTGGTTTACAATGAATGAGCAAGTCCCTTTCAAAAGGAGGTTCTCCATCTTCGTTTCTGAATATGACAGCAACCTCGGTTACACGGGGAGAATTATATCTACCCGGGTCACTGTTACGCTCATATTTAATCACCATTGTTACCTCTGTGGGAGCAATACCTTTTGCTGCTGCTTCAGATTGGGCTTTCTTTTCTACCTCATGTAGCATCTTGTATGACTTTGTTAATTCACTTATTTCATGCATGAGGTTGTTGATGTTGATCATGAGTCTTTCTGAGCAGCCCTGGTTTTCTGGCATTGCTAATCTTTTACTTGTAGCTTCGGCTGTATCCAAAATATAGAGTTGAGCAAACTTCTGAGAAACACCATCTGAAGGATGTAAAGTACCAGTATGGTGATAAACTTATCTGTGTATTCTAAAACAGTTTGGCCCATATCCTGATGGCGATGCAATATTTGCACCCATCGAAGCAAAAGCAGAAGAACTATTTATGGAACGAATATTTTCCATGAAATGTTTACTGTCAGAATCTTCGTTTGTCATTAATCTTTTTAAATATGCCGGGTAATCTGGAAAATGTATATCATTTGGACAGATTTTCCCTTTGCTACAACATTGAGTAAATTTCCCATCGGATGGTTTTTCATCCGATAAATTGAGTGATAGGCAAAATTCACATCGAACAGTCATTCCACCGCAACTATGTTTGAGAATTGCATCCTCATGTACTCCATTTTCGCTGAGAAGGCAGTTCCTACCGGTATTGGTAGTACTTATAGATGACTGTTCTCTCGACATATTCTGTCGTCACCACCGCCTGCCTTCTTTTAACTTCAAAGGCACATTGGTCTTTAGACATTTTCTGTCGATAACACCGGTGTTTTTCGGCATCAAGCGATGTTTTTCCAGTAGCTGGTGTTCAGATACATCCTGTCGCAGGCACCACCTTCTTTCAAGATCAGATGCACGCTGCTCTGCAGACACTTTTTGTCGATAATGCCGGCATCTTTCAGCTGCAGAGCTATGTTGTATCAAGTTGTTCTTTAGACATAGTCCCACCTCCCTACTGTCACGGTCTGAGATGCAGGTGAAAGAGTCCTGGCTATCAGGCCCCTGAGAGCTGTCTGACCAATGGCTGATTCTGGCTGATTCTGTGAGGATGGGACTTCCTCCTCTCTGCTGTCAGTTTTCACAGCTGTGATGAGGAGGCTGGGGTGACAGAGGGAGCCCCGCCCTCCAAGCCGCCCTCTCTCTCGCTCTGCTCTATGTCCAGTGGTCTCCTGCTCTGCCAAGTCCTCTAAACCTCCCGCTCTCCACCAGTAAGGTCCCAGGAGTCTGTGGGCGCGCCTCCCTGACCTACAAAAGTCCCGGGACCCTGTGAGTGTGCCTACGGCCTTGCCTCCTGGGGCCGGCAAAAGTCCCAGGAGCCCGCAGCCACTGCCGCCCTCACCTCCTGGGGCACTTGACACCTGTGTATGCAAATTAACCACCACCTTTGTTGGACAATTTGCATAGTCACTCAAATCGGCTGGTGGGCATGGCTGGTGGGCATAGCTTGAGTGTAGTGGAGGGACAGCTAATCTTCATGTTTCTCTTTTATTATATAGGATATTAAGATATATGTCCAGATACATCTATTTCCCCCTTAGCCAATTCATCTATAAGAATCTTAATTAAATGGAAAAGAGCAGGCTCAAATAGGAATCAGAAAATCTGGACTGATTCCTGCTGTTCTTGGGCAAAGCAGTTAACCTAATTAGTCTTGCCTTGCCATATATAAAATAAGACAAACAGGCCACATAATCATGGTATACAAAGTCACTGTAGTTATTTAAAAACAGATGATAAAGTTTCACTTCAAATTATAATAAAACCCACTAAGGTGAACTTCAAAACTACAAAAAACCATACTAACAGTGTCTCTAATCATTTTTTTCTCTTAGAGTAGCATAAAGTTGCTGTAATTCTTAATTAAATTTAATATTTTTAAAATAAATTATGTTGGTAATGTATGGGGTTCAATATTTGTGGAATAGAGAAACTATTTGGTTATAAAGCTATTAATTTTAAGCAAAAAATAGAGATAAACTATAAACTGATTTTACTCTCTGAAATTAAATTCTATGGAAGTTTCTAAAGTGATAATACATCAAAATGATATGTTACTATTTTTAATCTCCACATTCAAATATTTTTACCTTGAACTCAATCCTCCCATTGAACATTTTCCCCATTTCTTATTTTAAAAAAAACACACAAAAAAGTACCCAGACTCCTACAACAATCAAGGCTTGACTACAACAAGACTGCTCACAGAGACCACAAGGGGGTGCACCAAGAGTGTCTACCTCAGGTAACTGGGACACTTAACACGGAAAGCCACTCTATCGACACAGCGAAGCATAAAAAAATGCCAAGACAAAGAAACAGGCCACAAAGGACAGAACCGGAAGAAAGCAGGCTACTGGATATAGAATTCAAAACCACACTTTTGAGGTCTCTCAAGAGGCTTCTAGAGTCTGTCGATAAACTTGATGAGTTGTACAGGAAATCTAATGAGACCCTCGATGGTGTGATAAAGGACCAACTAGAAAGTAAGCATACACTGACTGAAATAAAGAATATTATACAGACTCCCAACAGCAGACCAGAGGAGTGCAAGAATCAAGTCAAAGATTTGAAATGCAAGGAAGCAAAAAACACCCAACCGGAAAAGCAAAATGAAAAAAGAATCCGAAAGTGTGAAGATAGTGTAAGGAACCTCTGGGACAGCTACAAGCGTACCAACATCAGAATTATAGGGGTGCCAGAAGATGAGAGAGAGCAAGATATTGAAAACCTATTTGAAGAAATAATGGCAGAAAACTTCCCCTACTTGGTGAAAGAAATAGATTTACAAGTCCAGGAAGCGCAGAGAACCCCAAACAAAAGGAATCCAAAGAGGACCACACCAAGACACATCATCATTAAAATGCCAAGAGCAAAAGACAAAGAGAGAATCTTAAAAGCAGCAAGAGAAAGAAACTCAGTTACCTACAAGGGAATACCCATACGACTGTCAGCTGATTTCTCAACAGAAACTTTGCAGGCCAGAAGGGAGTGGCAAGAAATATTCAAAGTGATGAATAGCAAGAACCTACAACCAAGAGTACTTTATCCAGCAAAGCTATCATTCAGAATTGAAGGTCAGATAAAGAGCTTCACAGATAAGGAAAAGCTAAAGGAGTTCATCACCACCAAACCAGTATTATATGAAATGCTGAAAGGTATCCTTTAAGAAGAGGAAGAAGAAGAAAAAGGTAAAGATACAAATTATGAACAACAAATACGCATCTATCAACAAGTGAATCTAAGAATCAAGTGAATAAATAATCTGATGAACAGAATGAACTGGTGATTATAATAGAATCAGGGACATAGAAAGGGAATGGACTGACTATGCTTGGGGGGGGAAGGGGTGTGGGAAATGCGGGAAGAGACTGGACAAAAATCGTGCACCTATGGATGAGGACAGTGGGTGGGGAATGAGGGCGGAGGGTGGGGTGGGAACTGGGAGGAGGGGAGTTATGGGGGGAAAAAAGAGGAACAAATGTAATAATCTGAACAATAAAGATTTAATTAAAAAAAAAAAGTGCCCAGACTATTTCTGTGCATTTATATGACCTTTTATGGGTATGGGGATAACATACATGTGCGTGTACACAAATACTGTATGGGAAATATATTATATTTCATTAAAAATATCTTAAGGTCAAAGGTAATTCCTAACTGGTAGTTAAATTAATTTGATTGGCAGATTTAAGCATACCTAAAGAATTACATATCTGTAGAGTTAACTGTTATTACTTACATGTTTTGTTATAAGCAAGTTTACCTGTTCATAAAGAAGAAAGGTCTTGTCTCTCTCAGATGTAAGAACCTTGACATTACCCTGAATTTCTGCCAAATGACGCTCATATTTTTCCAGCATGCACTTAAGTTCTTCACGGTCTCGTGTGGTCTTCAAAAGCTCTACATCACAGTGTGTAGCCTACAATTATTGGATAAGAAATGTGAAGCTCTTCTTTACATGACGGCCGTTCATAGTCTCTACTTAAGCAACCATGATGATATAATGAAAGGAAATTATGAAAATAAATTTTAAAAATCACCTCGTTTTTAAACAGCTTCCTCCAAAATTGTTCCACATTTGTCTGATTACCTCCCAACCAGGACTAATGCTGAGGCTAAAGAACCAATTTCAGTGGTCCACTGTCCAACAAAGAGACCTCTGTCCCCCAACCTCTTTGATATACCAATTCATGCCAATCAACCAGATTAGGTAAATCAAAGAATAAAAGTCAGTGTTTGAGCAACAAACTCCAAAATATTTCTCACTTTCCAACACTTACCCGGGAAGATGGGGACAGGCGTCTTGGACTTTTAGAACTATTTCTGATCATCTTTCTCAGTTTCTGAGCTTCACTCTTGTAGTGATCTTTGTCTGCTTCTAAGGTCTTGATAAAGGAATCGAGTCTGGAAGGAGATTTATTTTGTGCTTTTTCAGTCTCTAAAATTATCTTGCCAGGGAGAAAAAAATTAGGCCATTATTTCAAGCTAAACTACAGCATCATTTTCTACATGAAGTTGAACACACACAGGATCCTTAAAAATAATAAATGTAGTATTTTAAAAATAACTTTTAAAAATCATACTTAAAAAAGCAGTTAGATATCATTCCTTTCCAGCATTTCTGAATGTTCTACATTTTCATTTAACTAAAAGTACCCCTACATTTACCCAATAATTTTGAAGGAAATAAGGTAAAGAAATTTCAGAGGCCAGAAATATCTAAAGATGTAGTTATAAATCCTAAAAATAAAATTAATTTGCTTAAAAAAACTTGTATAGTTTTGTTCAATAACTGTCCAAGGAATGAATAAATTAAAGGAATAATGGATATTCTATACTTGTAAGAACTTTAAAGTGCATTCCCATTCGCTTTAGCATATTTAGAAACATTTCTTTTACAACATTTATTTTACAATGCTATATTGGGAGGAAATAACAAATATACTTACAGAGAAGGTCTTCCAAATTATTTTAAATAGTAACATTAACATGTCTAAACAGAGCTGTTTTTATTTCACATTGTTAAATTAAAAGACATATTAGAATTAAACAACAAAATTTGACTTACAGATATTTCTTACTAAGAAGAATTAAAGTAAATATGTAGACAAATGTATCTTACATGTTGAGAATTAAATTACTTACAGTTATCATTTTAAATCAATTAACAGCAAAGGGCATTCATAAAAGTAACCAAAAGTTCTCTCCAACTCTAGGAGAGCAAAGAGTAACGCTGAAATGGAGTAAGAACAGCATTGCCCTTATACATGGGAGTACCCTGTGCACCAAGCAGAGGGCTGATTGTAGAACACAAACATTTTTGATTGTTCACAAAATCATGAGAGTCAGAACATATGTACAATTTTTTGTAGTTTTATTATGCTAACAGAATAAAAATTATTCCTGAATATATTTTTAAGAAAAATGTACTTACAGATTTAAGTCTTTTTATTGTATCTTCCAATACTATTATATTATTTTGCTGGCAAATGAGTTCAATCTGAAAATCAAGCCAGAAAAAAATTATTTGGATTTTAAATATGTAAACTGATTTAACTGGAAAAAGAGAATATAAAAAGCAAGCCACTTAAAAATAAAAACATGCAGACAGTGAATATTTTACAAAAGAAACTATATTGTACCACTTTATGTGTACCTACCTTTGCTGATAAAAGAACCTAGGATGATATATAACAGTTCCTCTTATATAAAACATTGATTATACTTTATAAATTAATCCCCACAAACTAGAAAAAATGTTAATACTAATTATAATCCTGAAGATAATAATGTGGAAGAAATAAATGACTAGGATTTTTTAAATTTTTCCAAATCACCATGGTCAGAAGTGATTATCTTTTCCTCTGAACTCTTTTAATAGTTTAATTCAATCCAACCCACAGAAACCTTTTTTATCAGATTTATGATATCAAACACATCCACTCTCATAGTATAGTTCCCCATAGTTATATATTTAGTCTATAACTAAATTGTATGTTCCTAGAGGCCAGTCACTATGTTTTTATGCAAAGCTGTAAAGCTCTCTGCTAAAAGTTGGCAAGTTAGTTTAATAAATTTCTCTCTATTTTTTGCAGAACCAACGAGGTGGCTGAATCTTCCTTTAGAACATCAAAAAACCTGACCGTGACAACAGGGAGAATGGGTTGAATGCAATGGAGTGTGCATTACAAAATGTGAATCAGTCACTACTGGACTTGCACAAATTGACCACTGACAAAAATGACCCTCAATTGTGTGACTTCATTGAGACTCACTACCTGAATGAGCAGGTGAAATCCATCAAAGAATTGGGTGACCAGGTAACCAACTTGTGCAGGTTGGGGCCCCTGAAACTGACATGGCAGAGTATCTCTTTGACAAGCACACCTGGGAGATAGTGAGGAGAGCTAAGCCTTGGCTGCTTCCCACAGCCACGGGGGTGACTTCCCTGGTCACCAAAGCACTATGTGTATGTTAGAGTTACTTTACCTTTTCCATAACTTGTACCAAATCATCCACTCATGTCTTTCATTTGTACCATTCTTTCAAATAAAGTAATTTGGTACCAAAAATATATATATAATAATAAAATAAAATGTACTCTATTTTATTTTTTAATTCTCACTCGAGGTTATTTTTCCAATGATTTTTAGAGAGAGTGAAAGAGAGAGGGAAAGACAGAAAGAAATATCGATGTAAGAGAAACACATCAATTGTTTGCCTCCTGCACGAGCCCTGACCTTGGCCCAGGTCAGGGAGGAGCCTGCAACTGAGGTACATGCCTTTGACTGGAATCAAACCCAGGACCTTCAATCTGACACTCTATTCACTGAGCCAAACTGGCTAGGGCCTAAAATGTACTATATTTTAAAATGTACTATATTTTAAATATATTCTGGGGTTATTGCACCTCATTTGTTCTTTTGACCAAAGTACTTTTCTAAGATTTCTCTGGAAGTGATATCTGTAATAATAAAAGCATAATATGGTAATTAGACTGGACATCCTTCCAGACGAAGACAGGGCTGCAAGGGAAGCCCGGGTCCCAGGTGCCTGCCGGTAGCCGGAGGGAAGCCTGGGTCCCGGGTGCCAGAGGGAAGCACCAGCCGGGGGAAGGAAGGCCTACTCTTGCACGAATCTCTTGCATCGGGCTTCTAGTTTTAATGAAATATTAAGGGGTGCTATGGTATAAGACATAATTATGTACAGTTTGGGTAAGCTTATATATGTTATTTGGATACAGTTTTCAATGCTTCAATTTATAATATTATAGAGACACTAAAAAATGGGTATATATTGAATTTTATGTAAAGATGTAGATAATAAATTAGTATAAAAACTCAAGGCCAAAAATTTTATTTAGTACAATACATTCTTAAAATAAATTTATACACAAATATCCTAGATGCAGATAGAAGGAAATGAATAATATATAAACTGAGGAAGACAGATTATGTTTAATTATCGAGTATGAATTAAGGTAGATGGTGTATTTTTATATTTTTTTATCTAAGATAGACAAAGAAAAAACATACTATTATTGATTTCAGAGAGAGGAAGGGAGAGGGAGTTAGAAACATCCATGAGAGAGAATCATTGATCAGCTGCCTCTGCATGCCCCCTACTGGGGCTTGAGCCAGCAACCCAGTATGTGCCCTGACCTGGAATCAGATCATGACATCCTGGACTGAAAATTTTAATAATATATATCTATTAGTTTTCATATAAGAAAACATAATGCTGATTCCACTCTGAAAAACAAAATTATAAATGGGCCAAATGAAAAGATGCTAATCAGTGTCATTTATTTGACAATTGTTTAATGAGGGCCTACTATGTGTCTGACATTGTGTTATATGCTTGGTTTAGTGGTGAATAAAACAGACAAAAACCTCTGCCCTCACAGAGCTGACATTCTGGTTGAAAATAGAAAAACAAATGATATTAGGTAAAATATATGTCAGATAGTGAGTATGTCATTCAAAAAATATATAGAATAGGAGGGTCAATACGGCAGTGTAGGTAAACATGGTATTCGCCTCCTCCTATAACCACATCAAAATTAAAACTAAACCACAGAACAATCATCATTCAGAACCACCTGGAATCTGGCTGAACAGAAGCCCTACAACTAGAGAATTAAAGAAGCCACATTGAGCCCAAGCTGGTTTGGCTCAGTGGATAGAGCATCGGCCTGCGGACTGAAGTGTCCTGGGGTTCAATTTCAGTCAAGGGCATATGCCAGGGTTGTGGGCTTGATCCCCAGTAGGGGACATGCAGAAGGCAGCCAATCAATGATTCTCTCTCATAATTGATGTTTCTATCGCTCCCTCTCCCTCTCTTTCACCCTCTCCCTCTCTGAAGTCAATAAAAATGTTTAAAAATAAATAAATAAATAAATAAATAAATAAAGCACAGCTCTCTCTAGTAATAAAAGTAGAACTAATTTTTTTTTTTTAAAGAAGAAGCCACATTGAAATTGATAGGAGGGGTAGAGGCACAGAACAGCTGGTCCAATATCCAGGAGCGGCAGTTAAACACTGGGAGGGATAACTTGGCTGTGGAGCTCTCCCTACCCCCATGAGGAGTAAAGGGTACCAGCCCCGCACCAGACCCCTCATTCCAGGGTTCCAGTGCTGGGAAGAGAAGTCCCTGCAACTTAGGGCTGTATAAACCAGCAGTCTGGTGACAAAGAGACTACTAAAGTCCCATGCAGCTCCTCTTACAGGGCCTGCACACAGATTTACTCGGACCCACTCTCTCTGAGCTCCAGCACTGGGGCAGCAGCTTGAAAGGACCCAAGGACAGACAGGGAGGAACTAAATTATCTGGCATCAGGGCAAGAACTGGGGGGCAATTTTCTCCCAGAAAAAGTGCTGGCAGAGGTCACTGTTCCATGGCTGAGACCACAGAGCTGATAGGCAGGAGCCATATCTGTGTCTTCATCAACTTGGCCCATACTGTTCACTCCACCTTGGTGATATCCTAAGGCCCTGCCCCACCTAAGCTGTTTGCAGGGGCTTTTCCATATGAATTGCCTGTCCTGACTCAGGCTTCAGTCTTTTCTAAGATCACTCAAACAAGCAGCAGCTGCCCTCAGCATGCTCTATACCACTCAAGAAGTGGCCCTATGCCCCATTTCTTTAGATAAGAGCCCCTAGGCCCCACAGTAGCAGCAGCATTCCAAGGTTCACAGCTTGGCCTCTCCTGGATATCTCCAAGCCTAACACACATAGCAGCCATCTGCAGATCACTCTGTAGCTTATGCTGGGTGGCACCAAACAAGGCACAGGCAGTAGCTGACTTTGAACCTTCCAGGAGGCCTCCGAGCCAGTGTACCTGGTGATCAGCTTCAGACCACCCCAGATTACAACCCTATCACATCCACAAGCAGCACACTCAAGGAGCAGACTTGGTGAGCACCAAAGATGCACTGGAGCAAGTCCTGCTCCATAGAGGCATCTCTTGCACAGCAGCTCTTTAGCTATAGTCGAAGCTGGCATTCACAGGCAATTGGCCTGGGGGTCAATCCCTCCCAGTGATGGCAATAGCAATCAAGGCTTAGCTACAATAGGAAAGTCCACACAGCCCACAAAGAGCACACCTAGAGTACCCAGCTCAGGTGACTGAGGGAGGGTGAACCACTGGGCCCTATAGGACACCTACTTTACAAGGCCACTCTATCAATTACAGGAAACACAGTAGCTCTACCTAATACACAGAAACAAACACAGGGAAGCAGCCAAAATGCGGAGACAAAGAAACATGTCACAAATGAAAGAATAGAAGGAATCTTCAGAAAAAGTACTAAATGAGATGGGAGCAAGCAAACTACCAGATACAGAGTTCAAAACAATGGTTATAAGGATGCTCAAGGAACTTAATGAGAACTTCAAGGAACTTAGTGAAAACATCAACTACATAAAAAAGGATCTGCCAGAAATGAAGGATACACTAACATTTTGAAATGAAGAATAATTTACAGGGAATCAATAGCAGAATAGAGGATACCAAGAATCCAATCAGCGATTTGGAATATGAGGACGCAATAAACACCCAATCAGAACAGCAAAAAGAAAAAAGAATCCAAAAATATGAAGATAGTGTAAGGAGCCTCTGGGACAACTTCAAGTGTACCAACATTTGCATTATAGAGGTGTCAGAAGGAGAATAGAGAGAGCAAGATACTGAAAAACTATTTGAAAAAATAATGACAGAAAACTTCCTCTACCTGGTGAAAGAAATAGACTTACAAGTCCATGAAGTGAAGAAAGTCCCAAACAAGATGAATCCAAAGGGTCCCACACCAAGACACATCATAGTTAAAATGCCAAAGGTTAAAGACAAAAAAAAAGAATCCTAAAAACAGAAAGAAAAAAAAGCAGTTACCGACAAAGGAGCACCTATACAACTGTCAGCTGATTTCTCATCAGAAACTTTTCAGCCAGAGGAGAGTGGCAAGAAATATTCAAAGTGATGAAAAGCAAGAACCTACAACCAAGACTACTCTACCCATCAAAGCTGTCAGTTAGAATTGAAGGTCAGATAAAGAGCCTCACAGACAAGAAAAAGCTAAAGGTGTTCATCACCACCAAACCAGTATTACAAGAAATGTTGAAGGGTCTTCTTGAAGGATCTTACATTCCAGCTGAGTAGACAATAAAAAATAAACCTAACAAATAAATTATATAGAAAAAAAGAGCAGAGTTAAAGATATTGGGATGTCTATGAAGGAACAGGTTAGAATTTTTTAAACAGGTGATCAGGGAAATCCTCAATGAAAGGAGCCCTTTCAGCAAAGACTTAAAGGAGGGAGCAAGTCAATCTTATAAAAATCTGGGAAAACACTCCAGGCAGAAGATACAGCCTTATAGCAAAGGACCTAAAGACAAAAGATGTCAGCTAAATTCTAAGGAATAGTAAGGAGACTAGTGTGGCTGGAGCAGAGGGAGGGAGGGATAAAGTAGTAGGAAAATATACAGAGAAAAATAAAGCAAGCAGAGAAAAGAGGGAGGGGTGTGTGTGTGGGGGGGGGCGCTTAAAACTTAAATAAGCTTTACCTTTGCCTTCCACATGGTAGGTTTTGAAATATTTTTCATTGACTGAATCACATACAAAGGTAAAAATAATGACAGAAGCTACCAGAGATCCAGTCTAATAATGACCCCTATGTGAATTTAAAATATAAATTCTATCAAGAAACTGGTAAAGGTGAAACTGCAACTTTGTTTCTTCATGTTTCAAAATGTTGTGTTCAATTATCTGGGAAACACCTTATTAAGACATTAATGACAAACAACTCAAAATGAGAAGATAAAAGGAAGCATATAGTTGTCGTGGTTTTCAAATGTCCACAAACTCTAATATTCCTTCCTTCAAAAAATGGAGCTTACCTGCCCTCCCCTTAAGTGTGGGCTACACCTATTGACACACGTCTAATGAACAGGATGTGGTGGGAGTGCTGGTGCACAGCTTGTGGATCATCACAGGCATTACCGATTCCTCCTTGCTGTCTCTCTTGGATCGCAGGCTTGGAGACTCTATCAAACGACCCGAGGGAGAGGTCCACCTGGCGAGCAACTGAGGCTTCCTGCCAAAAGCCAATGGCCCTCTGAGTAAGGCATCGTAAAAGCAAATCTTCCAGGACAGTCAATCAATGACTGCGGCTGAACCATCATTTTGATGACAATTCCTAAGAAACCATGGACCAGAACCACTCAGCTAAGCTGCATTTGACTGCGAGATATAAATGTTTGTCACTTAAGGCCATTAGGGTTTAGGGGTAATTTGTATGATAGCATTCAGTCAGTCAAAACATTAAGCATTCCATTTTATGGAATAAATGATGGAAGAAGTTCCTCTTTAAAAAGCTGACCTTTAAAAAATGACTAAAAGTAATCTCTTCCGAGTAAATAAATATAATACCATCTTTCTCAATTCCACATAAACGAACAGTAGCTTAAACATCAGACTCTACCTCCACATATCCAGAGCATAATGTCAAAGAGTATAAGAACCCAAATATTCTTAGTTCTCAAATTAGAAATTCTCATTTCAAACCTCATCCCACAAGTCAGACAAGGAACCTCTCCCAGTAACAGGGTAGCTGAACTGCACGCCCAGTGATGTGAGGAGGAGGACAACAGGCACTAGCATTCAGTTCTCCAACATTGGTCATGCATCTTCTATTTCCCGGTGTACCTGTAACCCTCGCCTACTGAGGTTGATGACTTCAGATCAGGGCATTCTACCAACCCGAAGGACCTATATCCATTTTTCTCTCTCTTTTTCAACTTTCCAATGTTTTCCCTGCATCAGCAATGCTATCTCTGCTCTAAGACCGCTACTCACCTTTACCCCGAATAGTTTTCCAATTCTCAAATATACCAAACGTTCCACCTTATATATGGATATGTATTTCCAAGAAACACTCTTTTGTGAGCCAGGCAGAATTTCCACCTGTGAGTTTAAGGTAAATCCTAGTTCTTTTATTTTTGACATTTTCCATTCCTGAAACTCTCCTTTGATAGCAGAGCATTTACCCTGACAGAGTAGTCACTCTCTCTAGAATGCAGATCCTAAAACATTTTAAAACTGATGACTTCTAAACTGGGCACTCTCTTCATGGGATTTTGGCCAACTAGTCTGCCCTGAGTCTGGGAAAGAGTGCAGTAAATTCTTAATTTGAAGAAAAAGCAGAGAAGGTATAATAAAACATAAATCCAGCATTTTTTAATTTTATAATTTATATAATTGAGTCTAAACTCAACTTACCATTAAAATGTAAGTAAAGAATAATATTCTTAAAGTAACAATGTAAACAAAAGAATTTATTGAAAAATGTTTAAAATATTCAAGCTGTTTTTAAATGTCTTTCAAATACTTTAGCAGCATCTATGACAAGATAATTAACAAATTAAAATCATATCATCCTTATCTACTCTCTCAATTAGCTGTGCTAAGAACCTCCTCAAGGAAGCATTGATAAAGAAGATTGTGTTCTTACATTAAAGGAATAAACATCACAATTTAAATAGACTTTTTACTGATTTAGATTTATTTATCCTTTCTAAATAACTGCGGTAACTGCATATAAACAAATACCATCCTAGAGTTCATTAACTGGGCTGTTATATTTCAAATTACTGTAACAAATAATGCCTTCGATAACACACATGTTTTCAGCCTAATCATTTAATTAAGTGCTTTATCATACGCTACCGACAGGAGTATATAATATGCTACCAAGAGTACATTAAAAGGATGTTTAAGAAATAACATGGCCCTAGCCAGTTTTGCTCAGTGGATAGAGTGTCGGTCTGTGGACTGAAAGATCCCAGGTTCGATTCTGGTCAAGGGCACATGCCCAGGTTGCGGGCTTGACTCCCAGTAGGGGGTGTGCAGAAGGCAGCCCATCAATGATTCTCTCATCATTGATGTTTCTCTCTCTCCCTCTCCTTTCCTCTCTCTGAAATCAATAAAAAATTAAAAAAAGGAAATAACATGTAACAACACTTAGCTTTGGGAAACTATGTTATTACAGACACAGTTTACCAATTTGGTGACTAATAAAATCAAGTCAAGCACATTCACACGATATTTAAGAATTCAATAGGTTGCTTTTCAGCTTTCAAATCCATTCTGTGTTTTGCTTGTAAACCATCAGTAGCAATGTGAAACAAAAATGTCATTTTATAATAGCGTTGAAAATCCCAGTTTCTAAATTTCATGGCAGAGTATTAAATCTCAATCAAGAAAGATGTTACCAAAATGTTAAGTAGCTACAGCAATTAGAATAATGTGGCAGTGGCACAGAAACAGCAAATGAATCAATGAGACCAACCAGCTCAAAACTGTGTCCACACACATTTTTGAATTCAGCAGCTGCTAAAATGGCACTTCAAATCAGTGACTAAAGCCCTGACTGGTTTGGCTCAGTGGATAGAGCGTCGGCCTGCGGACTGAGGGGTCCCAGGTTCGATTAAGTTATTTAAAAGTATTAAAAGAAAACTTTAGAAAATATTCTTGTAGTTCTTTTAGTGACAAGGCCTTTCCAAACCAGAGTCAACATGAGGCTAAGTACAGAGGATTTCAGGGCAGTGAAACTACTCTTTTTGATAGTATAATGGTGGATAAATGTCATTTTACATTTGTCCAAACCCACAGAATGGTCAACAAAAAAATTCCCAAGGATTATAACTTTTTAAAAAAGTTATTTAAAAGTATTAAAAGAAAACTTTAGAAAATATTCTTGTAGCTCTTTTAGTGACAAGGCCTTTCCAAACCAGAGTCAACATGAGGCTAAGTACAGAGGATTTCAGGGCAGTGAAACTACTCTTTTTGATAGTATAATGGTGGATAAATGTCATTTTACATTTGTCCAAACCCACAGAATGGTCAACACCAAGAGTGAACCTAAATGTAAACTATGTAAAAATGATGTGTCAATGTAGGTTCATCCATTGTAACAAATGCACCACTCTGATAGGGGATGTTGATGATGGTGGAGGCTATGTATGTGTGAGGGCAGGGAGTATATGGGAAATCTCTATACCATCTGCTAAGTATGAATTTATTTATTTTTTTAAAATATATTTTTATTGATTTCAGACAGGAAGGGAGAGGGAAAGAGAGATAGAAACATCAATGATGAGAGAATCATTGATCAGCTGCCTCTTCCATGCCCCAAACTGGGGTTCGAGCCCACAACCCGGGCATGTGCCCTGGGCATGTGCCTTGACCAGGAATCGAACCATAACCTCCTGGTTCATAGGTTGATGCTCAACCACTGAACCACACCTGCTGGGCAGTTTTGCTATGAATTTAAAACTGCTCTAACAAATAAAGTCTATTCAGATTTTTTAAAGGAAGAGGAAACCTCTAAAATAAAACAATCAAAATATTGACAACTATGACTACAAATAAATTTTAAACTTTGGTTAAAAAAACTTTCTCTAAAGTGTGAAATATACAGTGGATGTGATACAAACAGAAAAAAAGAATGGGGACACATACATCTTGTTTGTAGCTATCTGTGTAGAGAGAAGGACTAGGGAGGAGGAGAAATGTTTGACATACAGAACATTATTATTGCTTGAAGTTTTTACCATTACACATCTTAGGAAATTTTCTTAACAAAAATTTTAAAAGAAAAAAAATGTAAGATACAAAACAATTTAATTCATAGAACATAAATTTAAATATAATGTCAAGTCTAAAAAACTTTCAAATGATATAAATGAGAATGTCACTTTTTTTCTTTGCATTTAATAATTACATGATATTTAAAGTAGAATTAAAATATTGATCAATAGTCAGATATTAACTAGAATTATTGTAGTCATTTCACAATATATATATATATATTGAAGCATTATGTTGTACACCTGAAATTAATATAATGTCATAAGTCAATTATACATCAATTTTTTTAAAAAAAACCTATCAGTGGTAAGTCTAATACCTTGGCTTCTTCAAGTTCCTTGTCGGCAGTATCCACCACAAAATTTTTCTGTCTTTCTAATTGCTCTGCTAATTGGTCAACTTTAATCAATTCTCTGCAAAGGTGCTCATTGTGGCTGGTTAAATTATCTATTTGATTGCTTACCACCTCCTTACTATTCACGAGGTTTCTAACATATTCTTTCAAGGCATGATTTGTCTGCTTGAGATCTTCAATCTGTATAATTAGAAAGAAAATAATCACATTAAAATATGTCCTTGGCTTCCCTCTGAGGAGAACAACTAGATGGTTGGAATCAGAAAGGTAGATTTGCTTCCCTGGCAAGGAGACCTAACTATGTATCTTTCTTTACTTTATGAATTTTGTGCCATGTGAATATTTTCCTTATCTGAAAAAAATATCCTATATAATAAAAGGCTAATACACAAATCAACTAAACGGTGGAACGACTGGTCGCTATGATACACACTGACCACCAGGGGGCAGATGCTCAACTCAGGAGCTGGCCCCTGGTGGTCAGTGCGCTCCCACAGGGGGAACGCCGCTCAGCCAGAAGCCAGACTCATGGTTGGCGAGCACAGTGGCAGTAGTGGGAGTCTCTCCGGCCTCCGTGGCAGCGCTAAGGATATCTAAGCTGTCAGCTGGACATCCCCTGAAGGATCCCGGTCTGTGAGAGGGTGCAGGCCAGGCTGAGGGACCCCCCCCTCCCGCCCTGAGTACAGGAATTTCGTTCACCATGCCTCTAGTACAAATAAAAATCAAAAGATTAAGATCTATATCTTTCAAGATAATTTACAGTTTAATAAAAAAGAACTTAATTACTATTGATTTTTAACCAAACTATTAGAAAAATTGCCAAATATTTATATCTACAAAAAGAAACCACGGTCTTAAAATTATTTAATTATAATAATTAATATAATCAATAGGCATTCTTTATAATTAAATTTCTATTTATTAAAAAATATGCTAATTCTTTAGAAAAGACCTTTTGAACATATCAATAACTTACTTGACTAAGCTAAATACCAGATCAATCAAGTATTTGCTGATTAATACGGAGGACCACAGCTTTCCTTCCCAGCCCACTATCAAACCATCAAGGGATGAAGAAAAGGGCCTTTCTATCACGAAGGTGTCCAAATGCCTTTAAAGGGGAAAATACATATGTTAGACCCAGTGGACAATGATTATATGTTGGGAGCTATGTTAAATTCCAAATATACAAAGCTAGGTTAGGTACCTGCCCTCGGAGAACTTACTGTTTACTTGAGAAAATACAAATACAATATGTGAAGTGCCACAAAAGACATGTCTATGAGATAAAGTAGTGGCACAAAGATCCTTTCCCATAATATTTGACTCTCGTTGTATTTTTAACAATATTTATTGAACACCAACATATTCAAGGCACTGTTTCAGTACACTCTGGAATGTGTGAGATGACAAATGAAAAAAGTCTTGGTCTTTAAGGAGCATCTAAAATTGCTAAATCCCTCATCTAATTCTTAGTTCTAACATTATTCTTGCTCTGACTTTGAACTTTTCAAATAACTATAGAGACAGTTCTTTCCAATCCATGAAAATCAACAGTTTTCTCTAAAAACATAAACTTTATCTATAATTCATCACTATATAAAAAGTATCCTAAACATTATGAGTTATATTTAACTATACTACAATGACTTTTATTTTACTCAATACATACCTAGAAGGACCATAAAATCGAGCCTACAACTGAGGCATGTACCCTACTGGGAATCGAACTGTGACCTCCTGGTTAATAGGTCTACCCTCAATCACTGAGCCACACCAGCTGGGCTCCCTTTGGCATTTTGTAAAGTGCACACCAACTTGTCAGATTTAGAGGTAAAGAGTTTGAATTATCAAATCCAGGAAATAAGAAAAATGTGAATAATAATAATTAAAAAATAAACTGCAAATGCACATATCTTCTTAGCTAAGTCTTATCACACTGGCCTGAATTTTTAGCAATACGTCCTACTCTCTTCTCTTTTGGCCTTTTCCTATACACAGCTAAAAATTCTTTGAAAATGAAAATTTGAGGTAACTCCTGTTACCTGGGTGCTTGAGAATGAATAAGATGAAAGAATGCCATTTGTGATCCCAGCCCTACTGACCTGTCTGGCCTATCCACCATCCCCTATACAGACCTAAGCTTCAGACACACTCAGGAAACAATCTCACTAAACTCATTTTAAAACCTGTATTAAGGAAGTTATTGAAAATGTTATATACTGTCACTGAACCCTTTTTTATGAGAATCCTCAGGAAAACATGGAGTTCTTCTGGATACCTGGTTTGTTCCTATTCTGTGGACTGTGAATTATTTACAGTCCACAAAGGCAATTTCCTTTTTGCCTTTGCCTCTTAGAAGTGTAAAGCCAATCTGGAGCAACTACTACAGAAGTCCGTTCAATGAACCTGTCTGCTATTTTCATCTCACACTTTCACCGTTTAGTTCCCCCTATTTTTATTTTCATTATTAGTATTTTTTTAAACTACAGGATGTGGGGTAAATAAACAGATGAACTTCAATTTATCTATCTATGTAACTTTTTGTCTTTGTTCATGATTTCTATAGGGGCGCATTTCTGAGCGACTACCACACTATAGATGCTCGCTAACCATCCACTGCACCAGGAGAGAGTAAATGCTTCTCCTCTCCATGCTTCCATAAAGCCTTTTAGTTTTATCTTAGTATTTTATAAGATATGTTATAATTACTATTTTTATTTCCCTGTCCCTTCCACTAAATTATAAACAACTTTAAATGGACTGTGTCTCTAATTTCTTATTCAACGTTATTCTCATTTTTGTATCATTATATTTTAGCACATAAATTGTTAAATGAATAAATAAAACAAATGAATTATAAATGCACAAACTCTTCCCTCTCCTCTGAAATCAAGCTCTACTTTCATACATTTCCAAGACACAAATTGCCGGGGTTGTGTCCCAGCATTAAGAAAGGTTCAGGAATCTGGAAAAGGTGCTGCGCGTAGATGACATAGGAATCCAGAGACTAATAAAGAGTCTGGAGACGAGATATAATTTTGAAAGGCATCGGGGGTCAGAGGACCTTCAGCTAAAGGAACTGAAGACTCCCTCCTTGTCTAGGACCCTTGTTTTTATTAACACAATTTGTACTAAGGCAAGGTAGAGATAATACACTTCAAAGGGTAAGGTTTCAAAGGGTACAGAAGCATTGTCAGTTTGAGGAATAGCCTACGGCTGTTCAGGTGTTTGGCCAGTAGGAGGCAATAACATGTAGATTAAGATGCCCTTTAACTGTCTGGCAGCCACAATCAGTTTCCTATTCAGGTTTGGGGAAATGCCTTTAGCCATTCCCAACAGGTGACTACATGTGTAACTCAACCTTGTTGAGTCCCCAAGTTTCATCAATCTTTTGATGAAACTCTTGAAATTATGACATGCTTGAATTGGTTCCTGACAACAAATACTTTGAAAGAGGCAGTTTAAGGCGGTCGGAAGGATGTAGGCTTTGGACTAAGACAGGCAGATTTAAATCCCACTGTAGCCCTTCACCAGTAACTTAACCTCAGGCAATTTACCATATTTTCTTGATCCTAAGAGGTACATCCTGACTTCAGAAAAAATAAATAGAAGCCTCTTGAGTTGTATCTGTTAAATGGAGATAATATCTACAATTTGCTGGGGTGTATATAAAGAGATATTAAGCCCTAACCGGTTTGGCTCAGTGGATAGAGCTTCGGCCTGTGGAATGAAGGGTCCCAGGTTCGATTCTGGTCAAGGGCATGTACCTTGGTTGCGGGCACATCCTCAGTGGGGGGTGTGCAGGAGGCAGCTGATCGATGTTTCTCTCTCATCAATGTTTCTAACTCTCTATCCCTCTCCCTTCCTCTCTATAAAAAATTAATAAAATATATTTTTTTTAAAAAGGGAATTAATTAGCAAACTAGCCACCTGTCGATTCCGTTAGGAAAGGGGCTCCCTCCTCCTTCCTGTCAGGGTCCAGGGTGCAGGAGAATGGGGAAGGGCATGTACCTTGGTTGCGGGCACATTCCCAGTGGGGAGTGTGCAGGAGGCAGCTGATCGATGTTCCTCTCTCATCGATGTTTCTGGCTCTCTATCCCTCTCCCTTCCTCTCTGTAAAATATCAACAAAATATGTTTTTTAAAAAAAGTTCAAGTGAAATTTTCTTGATCCTAAGAGGTACACCAAAAAGTAGTTTTTCTAAACAAACAAATAAACCCTTTTATTTTTAAATGGAGATAATATCTACAATTTGCTGGGGTGTATATAAAGAGATATTAAGCCCTAACCGGTTTGGCTCAGTGGATAGAGCATCGGCCTGTGGACTCAAGGGTCCCAGGCTTGATTCGGTCAAGGGCATGTACCTTGGTTGCAGGCACATCCCCAGTGGGAAGTGTGCAGGAGGCAGCTGATCGATGTTTCTCTCTCATCGATGTTTCAAACTCTCTATCCCTCTCCCTTCCTCTCTATAAAAAATTAATAAAATATATATTTTTTAAAAAGGGAATTAATTAGCAAACTAGCCACCTGTCGATTCCGTTAGGAAAGGGGCTCCCTCCTCCTTCCTGTCAGGGTCCAGGGTGCAGGAGAATGGGGTTCCTGGCTGGCAGGCCACTGACAGCAAGCTATCCAACAGTGGATTCTGTGAGGAATGGGGCTCCCTCCTTTCTACTGTCAGGGTCTGGTTTGAAGGTTGGCCACGACCCCTGTTGGGCCAGACCCAGAGTTCTACCACGCCGTGGCCTCCACCTCAATAACCCAGGACTGACTGCTGCTGGGCGCTCCTGGTGCTCAGAGGGTGGGTTCTTCCCTCAGGCCACACGGGAAACAGCTGGGGAGGGCGCAGCCCTTGCCAAGACAACCCCTGCAGGACTGACTTCCTTCTGCTTGGTCGCAATTCTGATAGTCGTGATGAAAACCACCCATGGTTTTTATATAAGTAGATAACTGAAGAATAGGAAGTTGTAAACATGTACAGAGAGGTCTTATATGCCCTTAACCATTTCCCCCAGTGGTTAAATCTTAATTATAAGACAATGTCAAACCCAGAGATTTCACATTGGTATAATGTGTGCATATTGCTCTATATGGTTTTATCCCATGTATATTGTTGTAATACCACCTCAACAAGATATAGAACTATTCCATCACCACAAAGATCACCCTCCTACACCTTTAAAGTCACATCCTCTCCCTCCCCATCTTTAACTATCTTTTGGGGGACAGGAAATAGGAATTACTGGTGGATGTGAGTAAGGAAGGGTCAGCCTGAGGCTCTCATGAGTGAAGGGACTGCTATTTGTCCAGGAGGCCACGATTATGGATGTATTTGATTCCATAGTAATCTGGGATAAGCTGCTTTTCAGCTTCCATACCTTCAAATTCATCCGAATTAAACTCAGTAAAGCCTTCTTCTTGGAGATGTGAATTTTCTGGTGACCAGGGAACTTGAACCTGCCCCTGTGTAAGGCCTCATTCACATGGTCCTTGTTCTGCAGCTTGCTGTAGAAGGACATGGTGACTTGGCCAATATGGACCCTGGCCACTGTGTCCTGGGGCTTTCCAAAAGCATCCATATAGATTGGGAACAGCATGAGGTCAGGCATGAGCATCCAATGGAAAGGGCTGTCTCCAAGGTCCCTTAGGGCAACCCATACAAGCAACAACAGTCATTGCATGGGGAAAAGAGCATGGTTGGCTTAAGTGTTTGTAGACCATCCTTATCTCTTAGCAATCACTAATCTCTATAATTTCATCATTTTGAGAATGTTATATAATTAAAATCATATGATACAGATCAGTATGTGATCTTGTGATATTGGCTTTTTTTCTCAGCTCAATGCTTTTGAGATCTATCCAAGTTAACAACTTAGATCAATAGATTCCTTTTTATTGCTGATTAATATTCCATAGTATGGCTTATCACAGTTTACTCACTTACCAATTAAGGGAAATTGTAATTGTTTCTAGTTTTGGGTTATATCAAATTAAGCTGCTATGAACAACTGAATAGAGGTTCTTGAGTGGACGTTAAGTTTTCATTCTAGGCTGTATGGTTAATGTAGGCTTATTTTCCCAGAGTGGCTGTACCATTTCTCATTCCCACTG